TCTCCTTTCTTACTCTCCATGTCACTTTCCCCAACCTTTTCCTTGTACTTTGTCTCCCTCTACTGTCTGGTTGTCCCATGTTCTCGTTGCAAGGCTTTCCATTTGCCTTGAAAATCACACCAGTGTATTGGAGAGTCCTTTCCTTTCTCTGGTTATGGGACACTCTTCCCAGAGAGGAGCACGCACCCCCTCCTGTCCAGGACAGGAGCTCCCTTGTGATCTGATTGCAGGACACTGCCTCCAGGGACTAAAAACTTGTTCTCAGGCCCTGCCCAGGAAGGGACACCTTCCTTGGTGACTAGCTCTGCACATTCTTGTCTGGCACAACCTAAGGCCTATGCCTCCCCTTCCCCTTCCTCCCATACTTTCTTTCTTGTACCCTGCGCTTTACTGCCTGGAATCTCGGCTGTCATCCCTGCCTCCACTCCCCATGGAGAAAGGGTCTTCATTGTCTCCTACATACCTGCTCAGTTCCTTTTCTATCTCTTCTACACTCTATACATAATCTGTCACTATGGGGACGGCTCAGTCCAAGCCTGAGGGCCTCACACCTCTTACTTGTCTCAAGTCCCTAAAGCAACTAGGACTTTCAGATACAATTTAGACCTAAGCACTTGAAGTTTTTGTGCACTGCCTAGCCACAGTACAAACTAGACCATGACTGTCTGGCCAGACACAGGAACCCTGTATTTCAATATTTTGAGAAATTTAAAAAGTTGATTAAAGTCTGAAGAGAGTTATAACAGTTTTCCTTAAATGATTATACTGGAGGTTATAAACTTCAATTTGATAATGTTTCAATGTACCAATTGCTTTTCTCTACCCAGTGTTTACATTTCTTCAAAACCCAGAGCAAGTTTTTGGTAGAGCATTCTCTAAACTACATAACGTAACAAAGATTATTAATGGTTTTATGTTTTCTATTAAGGTCCACCTGGAAATTTATAAAACACAGTGTGTAAATGGGTAATATTAACTTAATTATCTTATGTGTATAATTTGGATTCCATGTTCTTTTTTTAAAATATTTTATTTATTATTTTATGTATATGAGTGTATTGCCTGCATGTGAGTGCACCCTTGTCGTGCAATGCTGCAGAGGTCAGAAGAGGGCTTCGGGTTCCCCTGGAACTGAAATTAAGGATGGTTCACAGCTGCCATGTGGGTGCTAGGAATCAAACTTGGGTCCTCTGCAAGAGCAGTCAGTGCTTTCAACCACTGAGCCATCAGCCCCCATTTTTTTTTTTAAGATTTATTTATTTCTTCATGACTTCAGCTGTGTCCACTAACAAAAGATCATCACAATTGGGCTTGTTGACTATCATATTCTTTCATTTAAGGAGGGGTAAGCAGGGTCATTGGCTCCTCACCTGAGTATTCAGCTAGTCTTCCCAGCCAGCTGTACGTAATTCTGCCCTAATTGCAAATGGTTTAAATTCACTGGCTCCCCAAACATTGGTTTGACACTAGAACCTTACAAGGGGGGTAAACACTGCTTAGTATCCCCAAGAAAAGAATTCTCACAACAGATGGAAAAAAAATTCTTTTTTTTTTTTTTGTCTTTTTGAGACAGGGTCTCCCTGTAGCCCCAGCTGTCCTAGAACTCACTATGTAGACCAGGCTGGCTTTGAACTCACAAAGATCTGCCTGCCTCTGCCTTCCAAGTGCTGGGATTACAGGCGTGTGCCACCACGCCTGGCCAGAAAATTAATTTTTAATGTTATTGTGTCTCATGGTTATTAAGAAAGAAAATGAAAAGTTAAAAGACATTAGAAGGATATGGGAATGGAGATATATTACTAAGAAGGATTTATGGATGAAGAATTTGATGGCTGGATATTTTCAGAATTGACAGGAAAAAAAAATGAGAATGCCTAAGCAAGTGATGAAAGTCTCTGTAGGTTTGTTTTTATTTTTTTAAATCTTCCCACATTCCACATCCCCCCAAAAAACCCCAGCCAGCAGTCTGAAGAACTGACAGCTTCTCTATCTCAAAGGAGACTGTCCTGTGCAATTTCTTCTGTTAATAAACTCTATCCCGCCAGAGTTTTGTCTGTGTCCTGGTGCTTTCTCCCAACTGACCAGATTCACCTATCAGGTTTTTTTGTTTTTTGGTCTTTTTGAGACAGGGTCTTCCTGTAGCCCCAGCTGTCCTGGAACTCACTATGTAGACCAGGCTGGCCTTGAACTCACAGAGATCCACCTGCCTCTGCCTCCCAAGTACTGGGATTAAAGGCATGGGCCACCATGCCTGGCTGTCACCTATCAGTTTTAAAGTATCAATTTGTCTGTACAGGGTCTATATAAACCTATGTCCCTTAAAAATAATTTACTTGTATCAATTTGACTTAAAAGCGAAGCCTCATGCAAACCAAAATTGTTAAATTAACCTAAAACATTTTTTCTAGGTCAAAATAATTTCTCTTTAATCCTTAATTCTTGTTCTATATTATGGGTATTATTGCTTTAAAATATACTAATTTGGGGATTACACTTCCCAGACATTAGGCTTAAGTCCATATAAAAAGTTATTTAGACAATTATTTCTCATTGGTGACTTTGTTCCTAACCAGAAAGTGCTGATCAGATGTATGACTTCAAATCTTGGTCTCCACCTGTAGTGCCCACCTGTAGCTAAGGGAGACAACCAGCTATTGTTCTAAAATGATGAATAAATTTTTTTCTCCCATCTAAAAGCCTTTGAGAGGGAACTGACACTGATTCTAAACAGTCCAACAGCTATCAAAATATCTGAAATCAAATCCTGAACCCATCACTTCCAGCCTTGGAAGACAAAAGAAAAGTGAGGAGGAACCCAATAGAGGGATGCTTTTGGAAGCCCTTGTGAAGAAATTCCAATGGACTCTCATATGAACACTTGAAAATTGCCCTGTTTTGACTTTGTTCTAGTTCCCTGTCTAGAACTTGTTATGCTAATTACTCTTGCCTTTACTTCTCCTTCACATTTCCTATTCACAATTCAAGAACTTTCTCTTGCCCCTAGAGATAAAAGTTATGCAATTTGGGAGTCTTTTAGATAGACCCACTGAAGGGGTACTCCAATTGCCTCAACCCTGTGTCCCTGTTCAGCATGGAAGAAGCCAGAGCAGTCTCTGTCCCGATATCCACAAGTTGGGTAACCTCTTCAGAGGAGGGTATGATAAGAATAGGAGGTAGAGGCCAGGCGTGGTGGCACACACCTTTAATCCCTGCACCTGGGAGGCAGAGGCAGGCGGAGCTCTCTGAGTTCGAGGCCAGCCTGCTTTTCCATGGTGAATCCAGGACAGCTGGGACTACAGGGAGACCCTGTCTCAAAAAGACCAAAAAAAAAAAAAAAAAGGAGGTAGGAATTGGCTAGGCAGTTAGGGTAAAAAGACCCCAAAGTAGCCAGTTTTTTGCCTAAAACTCACAATGTCCTTGGGCCTCTTAGCAGCATACTCCGTTCCAAAGGCCAAAAATATAGAAAATATTTGGGAACGTTTATCTAATTCTTAAAGATTTTAGGGTTACCTCTTCAGACGCAAATGTTAGAGTAGCCAAACGTCCCATAAAAATAAATAAGTCAAAGAAGAAGAAAGAGTACATGAAGTTATCAGAAAAGTGATGAGGAGATATGGGAGGAGTTGGAGAGAGGGAGTGGGCATGGATTTGATCAAAACACCTTCCTTGTATGTATGAAACTCTCAATAAATTATTTATTTTTTAAAAAAGTATACTGATTTTAAGTGATAATTGCTTCTAATCCAGGAAAACTTTACCACTATTGTCTCTTTATAACCAATAAACAAGTACATCAAGGTCCATACCTTTACCAAGCTTATATTGTACTGATATGTTTAAAATGGTTGTTCATTTATCTGTAGGTATAAAGGACCTAATTTGGTTATTTGATGGATTCTCACAACAAATAATGGATTTGTTTATAAATTTTATGTATGGCTGGATATTTCCAGAATGGAAGGAATAATAAAAATGTTTAAGCAAAGTCTGTTTATAGAGTACAAGGTGGTTGTTATTACAATAATTACTGTCACAGCCTATTCTGGATAGCTTTAGTGTCAACTTGACACACCTGGGTCGAGGGAGCCTCAACTGGGGAATTGCCTCCATAGGACTGGCATGTGGCCATGTCTTTGGGGTATCTTCTCGATTGTTGTGTGATGTGGGAAGGCCCAGCGCACCGTGGGTGGTGCCACTCCTGGGCAGGGGGGCCTGTGTTACATAAGAAAGCAGGCTGAGCAGGGGCCAGGGGAGTGAGCCAGTAAGCAGTGTTCCTCCATGGCCTGTGCTCCAGCTCCTGCCTCCAGGTTCCTGCCCTGAGTTCCTACTTGGGCTCCCCAATAAACTGTGACCTGGGAGACGTATGATAAAATAAACCCTTTCCTCCCCAAGTTGGTATTGGTCAGAGTGTTTTGTCACAGCAATGGAGAAACAAACTAGTACACAGCCAAAGAAAATTTTTTTCAGTCTACTTCACTGACTTGTGCTACACACCTAATCACAGTCTGGAGTTAAACGGAGACAAGTGTTAAAGTTAGAGAATGTCCTTTTACGTTTCTCTATACTATACAAATGTTGCTTTTAATGTTTTCCCTTACCCATAACAAAATAATTTAATTCAAGAACTAGGTTTTTGCCTCCTGGAACGAGATGGGACAGTCCAAAAGAAAAGTTTTGTTTGGTGAGCCTGGTATGAATCTGAAGCAGTTTATTTCCTATTTCACATACCACTGGCATTCCTTACAACCCCGCAGGACAAGTGCATAGGCTGAACCATCTCTCCAGCCCCTCCACTTCTGTTATTGAAAAATCAGCCCAGAAATAGGAAGGGACAGGCACGAGGTTCTATGTCGGGGCTCATGGAGCTCCTGGGAAGGCGCTAAGGATGGAATGGAGGCCTCGGCATGCCCTGAACCTGCTCCATCCCTCCTCCACACGATAGACCGCTTTTCCTCTACCACAACGGCTCCGTGCTCCGGTGTTCGGCTACGCATACTCACCCAAGTTGTAGAGCAGAAAGAGGCCCTGGAAGGCGGCCTGGCGGGGGTGCGGCCCGGAGCTCCGCGCGTAGCAGCGCCGCAGCGAGCCGAAGCCTTCCTGCACCTGCGTCTGCAGCAGCACCCGGTCGGCCCCCCCGCGCGCGTCATCCGGGCCGAGCCGCGCCACCACGGCCAGCAGCGTGGCCAGCACGGCCTCCAGTACCGCCGCCGCCTCGAGGTCCGCCGCGCGCTGCAGCGTCAGATCCAGCCGCACGGCGCGCAGCCGGTCGGCCACGAAGCTCGCCACCTCGGCGCGCGACGCGTCGGTGCGACAGACCACCTCGGCCGCCAGGTAGCGCACGGTGGCCAGGAGTACGCACGGCGGCCGCAGCAGGCTGGGTGGGGGCCGGGGCTGGCCAGCGGCAGGCCGGCGGTACTCCTTTACGACTCTGCGCGAATCCGCGCGGGGCGGATTTCCGCGTCCGGCCGGCGGCAGCTCCAAGCGGTGCAGGCGGCGCTCCCTCTCCCGCTGCGCGCGCTCGGCCGCCGGGCACATGTCCGCGCACAGGGCCAGGGGCAGCTCGCCGCCCCACATGGCGGCGCTGTGCGGAGAGGCCGCGCGCTGAGCATCGCGGGCACGCGGCCCGCCATCCCGTCGGGAGGCTTCGGGAAATCGCGGGTGGGCCTCCTCCCGGCTCCGCAGGCCAGAGCCCCGGGGAGTCGGCCTTCCGAGATGCACTGTGCGGGAGTCTGGTCTCTCCAGCACGGTTCGGCTACCTCGGACCCCTCTAACGCCTCCCATAATCCACCGCGCGCGGCCTCGCTTTTCTCCCTTCAGAGGTGTCCCATGATGCACCGGTTTGTAGTCCAGCATTGGGCCCACCTCCCCCAGGTCGGCTGGGCTTCAGTCAATGGGCTCTTTGGCTTTGAGGCGTTAAAAATACTTGGACTTGTGGGCCAGGTGTGGTGGTAAACGCCTTTAATTCCAGCACTCAAGGTGCAGAGTGCAGGTGGATCCTCTGTGAGATGAGGCCAACCTGATCTACATTGGGAGTTCGAGGCCAGCGGGGGCTACAGGGAGACCTTGTCTCAAAAAGGTAACAGGGGCTAGAGATGGCTCAGTGGTTAAGAGCACTGGCTGCTCTCGGAGAGGGTTCAGTCCCCAGGTCTATATGACAGCTATCAACTGCCTGAGGGCATTGCACAACCCATGTTGTGCAATGTCCGCTGAGGTCAGAAGAGGGTGTCAGATCCCTTGGAACTGGAGTTAGGGTGGTTTTTAGCCACCTGTGGGTGCCGGAAATCGAACCCAGGTGAGCAGCTAGTGCTCTTAACCGCTGAGCCACCGCTCCAGCACCACACATTAAGGGTTTTTTTGTTGGTTTTTTTTTTTTTTTCGGTCTTTTTGAGACAGGGTCTCCCTGTAGTCCCAGTTGGCCTGGAGCTCACTTTGTAGACCCAGGCTGGCCTTGAACTCACAGAGATCCGCCTTCCTCTGCCTCCTGAGTGCTGAGACTAAAGGCATGGGCCACCACACTGGGCTAAGATTTAGTAACAACAACAACAAAAAATTAGACCTTGTTTCCCTGAAAATGTCTTCTCTGTTTTTTGTTTTGATTTTGGAGACAGGCTCACTGTGTAGCCTTCCCTGGCCTGAAAGTCACTACCATAGACTAGGCTGGCCTGGAACTCACAGAGATCCTCCTGGTTCTGCCTACCCAGTGCTGGGATTAAAGGCCTGTATTTCCACATAGGAAATTGTTAAACTAATTGTTTTTGTTTTTTTGAGACAGGGTCTCACTACGTAGCACTGGCTGGCCTGGAACCTGCCATGTAGATCAAGCTAGCCTGGAACTAACAGAGGTAATTGGCTCTGCTTCCAGAATGCTGGGATTAATAGTGTATATCACTTACCTGGGCATAGTAGCACACACACCTTTGATCCCAGCACTGGTCTACTTAGTAAGTTCCAGGCCAGCTGGGGCTACAAGAAGATCCTGTCTCAAAAATCAAAACAGAAAAATGTATACCACCATGCCCAGCCTTTATTTATCTTTGAGACAGGGTTCATTGTAGACTGGCTTCAAATTTGCAAATCTGATAAGTGGCCAAAGATGACATTGAACTTCTGACCCTAGTTTATGGGCTGCTGGGACTCAAACCCAGGCCTTCATGTATACTGGGCCTGCACTCTACCAACTGAGCTGCTCCCCATGATCAAGGGTCAGCAATTTTTTTTCTGCACAGCCAGATAAAAAACATGATTTACTAGACACAACTATTCAACTTGGTTGGTACAGTGTAATGTTAAGTGAACGAACCTGGTTGTGTTCTGAGAAACTTTTATTCATACAACTTAAATTTTATTTTATTTTTTATTTATTTATTTATTTATTTGTCTTTTTGAGACAGGGTCTTCCTGTAGCCCCAATTGACCTGGAACTCACTATGTAGACCTAGCTCGCCTTGAACTCAGAGATCCACCTGCCTCTGCCTCCTGAGTGCTGGGATTACAGGCATGCACCACCACACCCAGCTAATTTTTTTTTAACCTGTCAAATGATCTTTTTTTTGCCCCCTCAATCATTTTAAAAAAAGTGAAAACTCTTCTAGTTCATTGGCCTCACCAAAAAGAGGCAGTGGGTAAGATCTGGTTGTAGGTTGTACACCCTGGTTCTAGATGGGTAAACTGACAGTTTAGTGACCCAGCTGCTGCTACCACATCAGATAGAGGCAGGCAGGCTCAGAAGTTCAAATCTGATTCCAAGGAGGCAGGCAGGTGGGGAGCCAAGTTGCCTTCCTCATTCTAGATCCAGTGACACACAGAAATGGCCCCTGGGGTGAAAAGAGCAGGAGAGGCTCAGGGCCAGGAGAGGAGTGGAGGAGGCTGGCAGTGTGGCAGCTGACATCTAGGGAGAACCCACTCCCTCAGGGCAGGTGTGCGTGAAGGGTCTCTGCCCGCTTCAGGTATTCGGCTGCCTTCTTCTTCACACCTTCCCTGCGGGCAGGGGAAGGATCACCTGTGGAGAGAAGATGGCTCAGCTGATGTACCCAGGCCCAATTCCCTTCCTGTGCCTTCTCCCTTGCTCTGGGTCCTAGTATGTCTTTGCCCTATCCCCATTTCTTTCTTTCTTTCTTTTTTTTTTTTTTTCTGTCTTTTTGAGACAGAGTCTCCCTGTAGCCCCACCTGGGCTGGAACTAATTATGTAGGCCAGGCTGACCTTGAACTCACAGTGACCCACCTGCCTCTGCCGCCTGAATGCTGGGACTAAAGGTATACACCACCACACCTGGCTTGCCCCATTTTTATAAGGCCATTAAGAAGTTAAAAAAATCCTGCCCAGCAGACACCTGTAATCCCAGTCCTTGGGAGGCAGAGGCAGGTGGATTTCTGTGAGATTAGTCTAGCTTGGTCTTCATAGAGAGTTCCAGGCCAGCTGGGGCTACAGGGAGAACCTGTCTCAAATAAAACAAAAAAACAAGCAAACAAAAATTTTACCCCAAGTCACACGGTTGACCAGTGAGAAACAAGGATTCCTGGTCTTTTTTTTTTTCTTTAAAAAAGTTTTGGATGTGTGTAGGGCTTCTGTGTGTGTGTGTAGGTCAGAGGACAACCTCAGGTATCACCTGGTCTCACTGTTGTTTTAGCTGCCTATGCCAGACTGGCTGGCCCTCAGCTTCTGAGGGTTCCCCCATTCCTGTCTCCCATCTTGCCATAGGAGCACTGAGGATTCCTGAAGTGTGCCACTGCACCCAGCTTTTGGGGGTTCTGGACACTTGAATCTGGTTCCTCATACTCGCATAGCAAGTACTTTACCCACTGCGCTGTCTCCCCAGTCCCTGGGCCTTCACTTCCCCTTCTTCCTCAATGCACCATCTTCCAGTCCCCACTCACCCGAGACTCCCTGAAGCAGGATATGTACCCCATCTCGGTAGCCTTGGAGCGCAGCAGCATAGGCGCCCGCCTTTTCATCCCGAAGGGCCTGGGTGATGAGTTCTGTGGCCTGACTCAGATAAGCAGGGGCTGGGTCCCCTGCCTCAGTCTCCTCCTCTTCCTGCCCTCCTGGCTCCCAGGGCTCCTGGTCCAGCCTTTTGGACTGCACCTCCACAGCTGCCAGATCACTTGTGTGGGTGGGGCTAGGGCCTGTACTTTCTGCAGTAAGATAAGAAGACTTAGGCCCGAAGGCTCTTTCTTTCCCAGGGCCTGTTGCCAGCCCTCAGGCCTCTCTTGTTCACTTGCTCATCAGGAAACCAAAATGTCTTCACTGGAGGGGAGCAGGGCCTGGGCAATCCTCAATCACTTGAATAGAGCAAACCAGCTATGATCCATTTAGTTTGGTTCACAGGCATTTGTGAAGTCTTATTTATTATTACGGTGTGAGTACAGGCATGCAAGTGTAGAGGTCAGAGGACAAGTTTTGAGAGCCAGTTCTCTCCTCCCACTGTGGTTTCCAGGGATGGAAATCAGGTCATCAGGTTTACAAGGCAGGCTCTTAGACTGCTGAACAACTCTGTTGGTCAGTGACCTTGAACTTCTGATATTCTTTCCTCTGCCTCCCAAGTGCTGTGATTACAGACAGCCATATGCCAATACTTTTTTAAAATTTATTTTTATTTTATGTGTATGAGTTGTCTGGATGTATGTATGTACACCATGTGTATGCAATACCCATAGAGGCCAGAAGAGGGTGTCATATTGCTTGGAACTGGAGTTACTGGCAGTTGTAAGCTGCCAGGTGGATGATGGTAACCATACCTGGGTCCTGTGCAAGAGCAGCAAGTGTTCTTAACTACTGAGCCATCTCTCCAGCCCCACCGTTTTCTTTTTCTTTCTTTTTTTTTTTTTATTGGTGCTGGGAATTGAACCCAGGTCTTCATGCATGTTAGGCAGGCACTCTATCAACTGACCCATGTCCCTAGCCTAATCAGCCACTTTAACACCTGAGTTGCAGTTATAGCATAAACTGGTGAATTTGAGAATGGAAATACCCCTGTGTCTCCTCACTGGAGTCTTCCACATCCGTCAGGTACCTCAGAGCAAGAAGGAGCTCAGAACCCGTATCTGTTGGGGGTGTGGTTGGTAGGGGGGTGTCTACCTGACTCTGCTGGCCTGCAGACCACCACAGGAGTTCCCCTGACTGCTGTTCTTTGAATCCAAACCTCACCCACTGACTGGAAAGCCACTCCTGCCCTCCATCTTACAGTGACCCCTAAACCAACCATGAATCCACTTGGAGGGGCTAAGCCCTCCTACAGCAGTGTGGCCCTGTGATACTGCTCTGCCCAGAGCTTTCCCAGGGAGGAGAGTTGGGCTTCTTCCTCCATGGTGACACACTGGATAGTGCATCCAGCTTGCCAAGCCACCTGCTCTGGTTCAGGCTGCGACAGCTGGGTGGAACCCTCTGTTCCCAGTGGCCATGGAGGCTGCTGTCTGGGTGCAGGGCAGTGCTGCTGAGGCCCCAGGCTTACACAGACATGTGGGCAGGCTAGTGGCCAGGCCTCCCTCCCTGTCCTTCAGCCATTCCTGCCCTTAGCCCTGCTCCTTACCTTCCTTGGAGTACGGATCAAAGAGAGCAAGCTCAGCCTCAGAGAGGAGACCTGGGATAGGGGAGCCAGCTGCCTCCTCAGTGCTGCCACAGCTGAAGAGTAGATCCAGGGCCTCCTGGGCAGGGCTGGATGGTGGGGGGTCCACTGAGGAGAGACCAGGGAGACATGATGCCTGCACTCACTGCTTCTCAGTTTTTAAAAGAGACATACCCTCTCAATCCTTGCAGCAACCATGGGTGTAGACTAGGACATTATTAGGGGCTGGGCCCATTTTACAGATGAGCAAGCTAAAGCCCAGAGAAGGAAAATGATCTGTTCAAAGGTCCTCCTAAAGTGAGTGGGGAAGGCAACGCGCCCCCCCTTTTCACTGAGATCCCTAGGGAGGGAGTGTGGTTTTTGTCTCCCTTCTCTAGACCCCCACCACCTTGATGTACCTGGCACCTCTAACTCCTCCCGGCCCCGTCTTTCTACAGGCAGTGTCTGAGGCAGCCAGGACTCATCAGGAGGTGATGTGGGGATGAGGGGGGGTGGCAGGATGTGCAGGTCCCTGGACACTTCAGAGGGCTGTGTCACCTCCCCACCCTGAAAGAGAGAAAGTCAAGGGAAGGGGGAGGAGGGAAAGTCAGGAGCACAGCTTGTAGGCAGGGAAGCTGCCAGGGACTTTGGGAGGACCGAAGAGTAGCCGCCGTACCCTGAAGAACTCCTTGAGTTGGGGGCTGTTGTTGAGCGCTGGGATGGGCACCGTGAAGCGCAGCAAGTCCTCTGCACCCTTGCGACGCTCCTCTATCACCGAGGCTTCAAACCGGCCTGAAGCCCAGGGAACAAGGGAGCAGGGAGAGGCAGCAGTGACCAGGGGTCTTCCAGCTCCAAGACCCCTGATTCTGATTCTGCTCGGGAGGCAATGAGCAACCTGCTGGCCCCCCATACTCCCACCAATCTTCGCTGGCTCCTCCTGTAGGAATCAGCCTCCCTTCTCCAGGTGTGTCATGTGCTTTGTGCTGCCTTCGGAAGATGAGAGAAACAAGGTCCCTATCGCTAAGGATAGCGGATCACACACTGGGAAGCAAGAAACATCATTTCAGGTAGCTTTGCTATAATGAGGAGGAACATAAGGCTCAGAGAGGGGAAGTGATTTGTCCAAGGTCACACAGCAAGAAGTTGTTTCAGGCTGGGTGTGGTGGCACAGGCCTTCACTCCTAGCATTTTAGTCCCAGGCAGGTGGATAGCGAGATACAAGCCACCCAGGGCTACATAGTGAGACCCTGTCTCATTTCACTGCTGGGCACAGTGGCTCACACACCTATAACCCCAATACTTGGGAGGCTGAGGTAAGAGGATGACCAGGGATTCAATGGCCAGCCTGGGCTACAGTGTCTCAAAAAAAAAAAAAAAAAGGCACATGCAGCATTATCTAACTTAACTCTGCCTTACTATGCTGCAGGCAGAGCCTATACCCCACCCTACTGTGTATTGTGGTTCCCACTGGGTTAATGGGATCCTAGATTCTTTGATATAAAAACTAATTTGGCTCTGTCAGCCAAATCCTCCCCGACTTTCTCCATGTGATGCCCTGTGCCACCTTGAGACTCTTCTAGCAACAGGGCCATCTGCAGATGTGGCCTCTGAGCCTTGGAGCAGAGCTATGTGCTGAAATAAGCCTCTTTTCCATATAACTCATCCAGCTTGTGGTACTGTGTCACTACAACAGAAAACAAATTAAGACTCAGGCCAAGGTACTTGACGTTGCTGAGCCTCATCTTCAAGGGAATGTTAATGACTCAACGTGTACAATAAAGGCTGCTCTGAGGTTCAGTTTCCCCTTTATGTTAAATGAGACCATCTCGGAAGGCCCATCCAGTTCTCCAAAAGCATCTGCTTTGCTGGGAGGTCCAAGCCCCTGTCACCAGCCCACACTGGTCCAGAGTCTTTACCTAACTCTCCCTGCATACTGGGCCCAGGAGCTCAGATGTGCTACTCACCAAACACCTGGGCACGGGGGAAAGCTGGGAACTCCTCCAGGCGCCGGAAGAGGTTGCGGTGAGTGTAGGCCAAGTCCCCATGGAGCTTTCGGAAGTCACTGTAGCGCTTCCAGACCACCACCTACGAGACACGTGAGACTTGACCAGGGCCAGGGAAAGTGGCCTTCCCACACCTAGTGTACCAAGGACAGAGAGTGGCTGTGCACACCCTCTCCAGTGAAGGCCAGGGAAAAGGAAGCTCCTTGAAGTTATGAGCTGTTCCCTGATAGGTGCCAGATCTGTTCACAGGGACAGTCCCCTCTCCCACAGGAGTCTCACCTCTTTGATATCCTCTGGGTCCTTCTTTGAGATGAACTGCAGAAGAAGGCAAGAACCAGGTGAGAACAGAGTCTGACACTGGACACAGCATCATCCTGCAAAGGCTGGAGTCCCAAGGGCCTCCCAGTCCTCTTCAAGGGACAGTGACTGAGCCTTTGAGCAAATTTTTTTATTTTTATTTTTTTGATTTTTGAGGCAGGGTCTCCCTGTAGACCCAGATGGCCTGGAACTTACTATATAGACCAGGCTGGTTTTGATCTCACAGAGATCCATCTGCCTCTGCCTCTGGAGTGCTGGAATTAAAGGTGTGAACACCATGCCCAACTTCTTTGTGGTTTCTTGACACAGGGTTTCATGTACCCAGGCTGGCCTCAAACTGGCTATGTAGCAGAGGATGGCCTTGTATTCCTCATTCTTCTGCTTCTGCCTCCCAAGTGCTGGGATTAGAAGCATGCATCACTGGAATCAGCTATTTATTTATTTGTTTGTTTATTTACTTATTGGTCTTTTTGAAACAGGGTCTCCCTGTAGCCACAGCTGGCCTGGATTTGCTATGGAGACCAGGCTAGCCTGAAACTCACTGAGATCCACCTGCCTCTGCCTCCCAAGTGTTGGGATTAAAGGCATGTGCTACCATGCCTAGCAGCTATTTTATTTTTAAATTATTATTTTGGTTTTTGGTACTGAGGATTGAACTCAGGGTCTCTTGAGAACTGTTAGTACTCTCCCACTGAGCTATATCCTCAGTCCCATGAGCAATTTTTCTTTTCCTTTTTAAAAATATTATTTCAGTCAGGCATGGTGGTGCACGCCTTTAGTCCCAGCACTTGGGAGGCAGAGGCAGGTGGATCTCTGTGAGTTCAAGGCCAGCCTGGTCTACATGAGTTCCAGGCCAGCTGGGGCTACAAGGAAACCCTGTCTCAAAAGACCAAAAAAATTTATTTCTATTTTATGTGTTTGAGGGTATTGCCTGCATGTGTGTATGCAGTACCCGTGTCATTCAATGCTCTCAGAGGTCAGAAGAGGGCATTGGATCCTCTAGAACTGGAGTTACGTTGTTAGCTGCCATGTGAGGAATGATGAGAATTGAACCCAGATCCTCTGCAAGAGCAGCCAGTGCTCTTAACTGCTGAGCCATCTCTCCAGCCCCTTGAGAAATTTTTCTACTGTGCGACTGCTTCTTTGTCAAATGGGAGGATCCTAAAGGTCTGTCTGGATGGCTTAATTTTACTTTCCTTTTTGTTATTTTGTTTTTTTTGAGGCAGGGTCTCCCTCTAGCCCCAGCTGGCCTGGGACTCACTATGTAGATGAGGCTGGCCTCGATCTCACAGAGATCTACCTGTTTGTACTGGAACTAAAGGTGCGCCACCTGCCTGGCCTCAACTTTTATCTGAATTCTCTCACAGGGCCAAGTCCTGGCATTTCTTTCTGAAACCAAAGGAATGAGCGTCTGTTCCAGGATCTGATCCTTAAGGGAGGATTTCCTGGGCTGAAATACCAAGGGACACAGAGGAAGCCACTGCAGGGCGTGGGCATGCTGGAAGGACAGACTGGGTCTGAGCCAGAAAGAACACTGGTTTTCACTGTTATGTTCAGAGGAATGTAGTAAACTTTTACAGTTTGGAGTTCTCAAAAGTTTTCAAAACATCCTTTGCTTCTTCTAAACCTCTGCAAATCAAACGTGACTAAGATGCCTATTTAAAGGACAAGGACAGGGTTGGAGAGATGGCTCAGTGGTGAAGAGTGCTTGCTGCTCTTCCAGAGGATCCCAATTCAGTTCCCAGCACCCAGGTCAGACAGCTCACAACTGCCTGTAATTCTAGCTCCAGGGGATCTGATACCCTCTTCTGGCCTTCATGGGCACTCACACACACATGTGGCATACATTCACAAACATATACACAAATAAAAAGACAAGGACGAGCTGGATATTGTGCACACCTGTAATCCCAGCTCTTGGGAGGTGGAGGCAGAAGAATCAGGAGTTCAAGATCATCCTCAGCTACATAGTGAGCTTGAGATACACACATTACATACACACACAAGCCAGGGGCGGTAGCATATATCTGTAGTCCCAGCACTTGGGAGGCAGATCTGTGAGTTCAAGGCCAGCTGGGACTACAGGTATGTGCTACCTGTATTTATTTATTTATTTAAAAAGACAAAAAAAATACACACTATATAGTACATATTACCTCGCTCTATATATAGTGTGTGTATGTGAGATATATGTAGTGTGTATAAATATATATATATATAGTGTGTGTGTGTGTGTGTGTGTGTGTGTGTGTGTGTGCGCGCGCGCGCGCACCAGTGGTACACTTGCCTAGCTTGTGGGAGACTCTGAATTCAATCCCAGCACTGAAAAAAAGGCAAAAGAAAAAAGGCACGGGTAACGCATGTGACTCGGCCTAAAAAGCCAACGGGAAAACAAGTGAAAAAAGACCATAAACCCTTTCACATCCTTCCCGCCCTCCAGGCCATCTGCCCAGGGACAAGCTTGCTCCTTCCTTCCTTCCTTCCTTCCTTCCTTCCTCTTTCTCTTTCTCCCTCCCCCCCTCTTTTTTTTGGTATGGGAAAAACAAATTATTGGGGCAAAAGCATACTCTTAAAACATCTAGGATTCTGCACTTAGATCACTTTTGAAGTGTCTATGTTTTCCCTTCATTTTAGCAGTGACTGATGTGCAAATTAAATAGTTGCCTAGTTGAAATCATTTATTTTTTGTTTGTTTTGTTTGTCTTTGAGACAGTGTCTCACTATGTAGCCCTGGCTGGCCTGGAACTTGCTTTGTAGACCAGACTGGCCTAGAACTCACAGATCCACCTGCCTCTGTCTCTGAAGTGCTGGGATTAAAGGAGCACACCACCGCACCTGACCCTGGGAAAAATTTTAAGTACAAGAAAATTTGTACACAAATTCTCCCCTCAAGCCCTGTACCCAGCAGTCTGGCTCCTCTCCTGGTTATTGGTCCTTAAATAAAACTCTAAATTAAAATTCTTGTATGCCGCTTTATTTTCCTTATTTTTCTAGTTTCCTGTCTCTCCGCTTTCTCATCATATTATCGTTTCAAACATCAACTTCAATCTGTTTTGACCGAGATGGCCGTGAAGATGAATTCTTGCTCAGTCCTTTTGAACTGCGGGGATTTTTTTAAACCACAGACATGTATTTTCTATTAAAAACGAACACTTTAAAGAATTTTTACCTATCAGGAAAAGCCTATAAATAAAAGTTACTCCAAAGGGTTGGAGAACTAATATTTGAGTTAAGTCAGAGCGTTCCTGTTTAGAGAAAGTGACAGCGCCTTCCAGACACACTGAGGTGGCACACGCCTCGGGGCTCGAGGGCCGGTCCACGCCCTTTTAAGAAAGGCGGAGTCTTCCTTGGCCCCGCCCCCAGGAGGAAGCCGTCGAGGAAGCCCCAGGCTCCCCTTAAAGGGAAAATCCATTTCTGCCGGCCAAAAAGCGACTTTCCCGCAGCTGTTCGCCTTAAGGTACAGTACGAGTCCCCGGCGGCTTAAAAGGGTAAAGCCCCTGCTGGACCCCCACCTCACCTGCGCGGTTACTTTGTATTCCGTGTAGCCCTTGGGGTGGGTCCTGGGGTCCGAGACGGTGTAGTGCCGCAGGAAGTCATCCTTGGTCTGGCGCGACATGACAGCGGAGCTAGAGCCAGCTGGCCACAGGCCTCCTCCCTCTGCTCAGCGCCCCGCCCCTCGGGCTCGGCCTCCGCCTGTCTCGCCTGGCTGGAGCCTGCGCCCTTCCTCCGCAAGCCTAGGGACCGGGTAGCAAGTGACACTGCAGTTCCTGGCCTGGGGGCGTGGCTAAGGGAGTGTCTGAAAGTTCTCTGCGGTAGGCAAAGCGTAGACCCAGGTGGTTGGAGAGTCCCAGAGGAAACCCTGCTCACAGATCTCCGAATGACTTCTCTCCCGCTTCTCTTCTTTACATCTACCCGACTCTGTTCATTTTATTATTTTGAGCTAGGGTCTCCGCTGTGTTGCCTAGGCTGACCTAGGTTCAAGCAATCTTTCTGCTTCAGCCTCCTGAGCAGTTGCAACTACATGTGCGTGCCACCAGGTCCTAACACCCACCCAACTTTTATTGTGTCCAAAATGTGCGGGACAGAGGCAGATAAATTTCCTGCCCCCCTCGGTGGAATTGGCTACTCTATGTTTTCTGAAGGATTGGCAGAGGCAAACCGATGCTGAAGAGGTAGGATGAAGACAGAGGCTCTAAAGTCCCGACACTTATGGCTGTTTGGATCCCCCTTAACTGCTTTTTATTGGGGGGAAGGGAGGGTTGAGACAGTCTCATATAGCTCAGGCTGACTTTGACCCCACTATGTAGCTGAGGCTGGCCTTGAACTTCTGATCCTATGGCCTCCACTTCCCAAGTGCTGGGATTATAGGAGTACACCACTACACTCCCTCAACTGCTTTTCATCTACAGAAAGGGGATGTTTGTAACAGAATCTACTGCAATACAATGTTGGCACAAGGGGCCTCGGTATGTGAAAATGCAACACCAGGTCAAAGCCAGAATGGGAAGGGAAGACATCAACTCGATTGTCACTGAACACATGGATCTGAGCACATTCCTCCACCACCAACAATCCCAAATGGGGACAGGGGAGATAAAAGGTTCCTTGAAAAATCTGAGTAGGCTGCTGAGGTGGAAAAGGACCCGGGGCCTGGATAAGCCGAAAGCTGCCTGTGAGTCTTCTGTCACTGTTGACAGATCCCTGTAGGTCCCTGTGGAAAGTAGAGAGCAGCAAATATCCTGTGCCCCTCTCTGATGCCGGATGCAGAGGTGGTACAGCACCTGCTGTCATGTCTTGGGCTGACTGTGTTGCCTAGACTGTTCTGCTGGTGTCTGTAAATTTGAAGGGTGGGCAGAAGTCTCAGCCCACTGCCTGGCTTAGCATTGGGTGTGAGAAAAAGACTATGGGTGTTCACAGAATGGATCCCACTGAGCCACACTACTGTGGGAACCAAAGAAACCACTGAGGGGCTGGATGGGTGGCTCCACAGGTAAGGTGCTCTTCCAGAGGACCCACATTCAGTTTCTAGCACCTATGTCCAGTAAGTCACAACTGCCTGTAACTCCAGCTCCAGAGGATCCAAAAAAATAAGTTTAGGGGGCTGGAGAGATTGCTCAATGATTAAGAACACTGGCTGCTCTTGCAGAGGACCTGGGTTTGATTCCCAGCACCCACATGGAAGCTAACAAATGTCTGTAACTCCAGTTCCAGGGGATCTGACACCCTCTTCTGACCTCTACTAGCATTGCATGACATGGGTGCACTTATACACATGCAGACAAAACACTCATACACATAAAATAACACAAAAACTTAAAAGGAAATAAATAAAAATTTAGTTTATAAAAAGCTGGGTATGGTGGCTCATGTCATTAATCCCAGCACTTGGGAGGTAGAGGCAAGTGGATCTCTATGTGTTCAAAGCCAGCCTGGTCTACACAGCAAATTCTATGCAGTGAACTCTGCCTCAAAAAGAGTGTCGGGGGGCAAACTAAAAGAGGGAACCAAAAAAAGGGCAGGGCCAGGCATGGTAGCCCATGCCTTTAATCCTAGCACTTGGGAGGCAAAGACAGGCAGATCTCTGTTTGAGGCCAGCCTAGTTTACATAGCAAGTTCCAGGTAAACCATGGGGAGACCCTGTTTCAAAAAAAAAAAAGTAGGTAGTCGGGGAGTCAGGTGTGGTGGCTCATGCCTTTAATCCCAGCACTTGGGAAGCTGAAACCGAAGCCAGCCTGGTCTACATAGTGAGTTTCAGGCCAGCTGGGGCTACAGGGAGACTGTATCAAAAACAAAAGTGTGGGGCGGGGATTGCCAAGGACGTCAGTGCTCTAGGTCAGGAGAACCGGCTACACACCTACACAGTAGAGTTTGTGCGGCATCCTTGGAACAACAGCGAAGCACTGGAGCAGCCGTTACACTGCCCCCAGCTCAAGAGCTGGAAAATCACTTGTGAAGGTGGCGATGCAGGGAGTGTGTGGTAGCTCAGACTTGTAATTCCAGCACCTGGGAGGTTGAGGCAGGAGGATCATTACAAAGCTGAGGCCAACCTGGGCTACATAGTGAGTTCCAGGTTGGCCTGGGCTACAAAGTGAGACACCCCCCCCACCCCATCTCAAAATCAAAGGAAAAACAGAGCAGAGATTGAAGGCTCCCAGCACCTGGGAGATGGTGGCAGGAGGATCAGGGGTTCAAGGTTATACTCAGCTACATAGTAAATTTACAGCCAACCTGAGACAGTCTTGTTTCCAAAAACCCCAACAACAATAAAAAAGCTGGGCACAGCGATGTGTGCCTTTAATCCCAGCACTCAAGAGGCAGAGGCAGGTGGATTTCTGTGAGTTTGAGGACAGCCTGGTTTATATAGTGAGTTCCAGGCCAGCTAGGGCTACATTGTGGGATGCGGTCTCAAAACAAAACCAAAACATAAATACAAATAAATAAGGCCAATGGAATGGCTCAGCAGGTAAAGGTGCTTGCCACCAAGCCTGATGACCTGAATTTGATCCCTAGTGTAGGCCCAGCATCTACGTTTTTCCTGTCCATTTTTTTAATATTATTTTTATTGGGTTGGTGATGTGACTCATTGATATAGTACTTACCTAGCATGCTTAAGGCCCTGAGTTTGTTTGTTTGGTTTTTTTTGAGACATCTCACCACGTAGCCCAGGCTGTCCAGAAACTTGCTATGTAGGGTGGCATGGAACTCAAGAGATCAGCCCTTCTGAGTGCTGAGATTACAGACGTGCACTGCCATGCCTGGCTTCTCTGCCCCCTTCTTTCTTCCTGTTCTCTCCAAGCGTTTTGCTGTTGAGTGATGCAGCTCCTAGCCTCCTCCAGATCTACAGCTGTACCAGCCTGGGCAGGGGAGACGCCAGCAGCAGCAGGGAGAGGTGACCTCTCCTACCAATCTACTATGTGGGGAGTACCTGCTCTCTACCCACAGCCCTGTGATGACCAGAGCCTTGCTGTTTTCTGATCTCTAACCATGCCTAATTCACCATCTCCCTCAAAGGCACTGTTTGCTCAGAGTCCAGGGCAGGGGCTGGCTTACTGGCATGACTCCCTCCTCCCAGTGGCTGACTGAGTTCCCAGTGGCTGAGTGCTTAACTGCCCATTGGTTCAAATCACAACCATAGCTGACACAGTGCTAATGACACACTAGTCACCATCCTCGTCCTGACCTCAGCAGGCAGCGTCCTTGCGTCCCCAGGTAGAAAAACAGGCAGCCAGGTTAGGCAGCACAGTCGGCCTCACTGAGTGTGAGCAGAGCCATGGCCTGTCTTTGGAACTTGGGTGTGTTTGCTCAGGTTGAAAGGACATAGGCCTCAGGTAGTGGAAAGCCCACTCCTGCTCTACCCAAGAAAGCTGAGAGCACAAGAGAGTGAAGGGTGAGATGGTGCAAACTCAACCCAGCACTTGGGGTGAAGGCAGGAAGATGACGTCAACACCAGCCTTGGCTACACAATGAGTTCAAGGCCCAGACTAGGATATGGGAGACCCTGTCTCAAAACGCGCGTACACACACACACACAAACACACACACACACACACACACACACACACACACACACACACACACACACACACAATGGGGGAGGGGAAATTAAGGAGAGAGATACAGCTGTTCATTAAATAATAAGTCAGCTTGGAATATGCTGGCTTATTACCCTTAGTGACCATCTTGTCATCCAACCTGAAACAAGCCTTTTATGAGATCTCTGCAAGGGATGAGATGGAACTTCCAGACAGTGGACACACAGCAGGGTTGTTGAATCATGCCTTGGCTAAGGTCAGTGAGCATCCTCTAACCATGTCAATCTAAAAGAAAACATAAGATGACTGCAACAGGCCTGCTGGCTCAGGCTGGCCATCACTCCAGTTGTGAGCTTCCCAGAAGCCTGAGGCAAGGGTGTGTTCCTAGATGCAATTTAATGAGCAAGAGAGTGAGGGAGGAGAAAAGGAGGAGAGAAAACTTAAGTCTTGGGAGAGAAGTGAACTTGGACTGAGAAGCTTCACTCTAGGGAGTCTCAAGGAGGCCCTGTAGGGGCTCTGAAGGAGTTTTGTGTTCTGACTCTGGCCTCTACCCTGATGAGGTGGCACCCATGGGACAGGAGTCCTGGTGTTAGTCAATGTCCTCACCTTCACTAAAGCAGCCCACTTCCCTTTGGGAAACTGGTCTTCCCCCGGGACACTGTCCATTGGGCTTGATAGCATCAAGACCCTGTGAGGCCAGCAGAGCCCAGGCTAGGCCAGCCAGCTCCGCCCTGGCATTTCAGCTTCAAATGCAATTGAAGATGGCGAGGCTGGGACTTTCACAAGAGGCAGCTGGGGTGTAGGGGTCAGGTAGCTGAGTTCAGGACCCTGCTGGCGGGGGGGGGGGGTTGAGGCAGCTTTGTATCTTCCTGGAGGTTCGCCTTGCCCTGTGGAAGGGATGCTGGCCTACTGTACAGGGGTGTCCTTGCCTGTACCAGGCCATAGGTAGTGCCTGGTAGAGCCAGTAGAGCCAGTCAGGGCTGAGACCCAAGGCAGGTGCACAGAAGCCCTGATCATGCAGCCACCCATCTGTCCCTGCCCTGCACAGCTCCCGCCCTGCACAGCTCCTGGCCCAGAGTCCATGTCCCTCCCATTTCCTAAGCTCTTCATGCTTCTGTGCCTGACCTAGTCTCCTATAGCTGTGCAAACTGTCCACTGTACAATTTTCCTAGTTGCAATGGTGAGTGGGGGCTGAATTTCAACAGGCTTTGAGCCCTAATCTGGAGGCAAGCCCCTTCTAATTCACACCGATGAGGGGAGGTGTCCCCCTAGGACTGCCAATCCCTTCCACTTCTCCTTCATCCCTGGCTTTAGTGTTACCTCCTCCAAGAAGCCTGCCTGGTATCCTGCAGATGGAATTGGCTCAGCCCTATCCTGAGCATCACAGCTCTGCACATTCTGCACAGAACAGCAGTTAGCCCTCGCCCTGCAGGTCCAACCTGGACTGGTGCCCCAAGTGAGCACTCAAGTTGGTGACTCACAAACAGCTCAGGAAGGCTCAGGGCAAGGAGAGGTTTATTCTCACTGCTGGGCAGAGGAGGCACCCAGGACCTCGGTAGCAGCAGGCAGCCCCTCCCAGCCCAGCCCGGTCCTCTTGGCATGGCAGCACAGGAGCCAGGCGACAGTCCTCATCCCGGGGAGCAGCAGTGGCAGCAGGAGCAGCAGATCACGGAGGAGTGTGGAGTGTTAGTCTGGCTGGCTGGTGCCCGTCCCCACCAGCTGGTGTCTGGTGAGGGCAGAGGCCTGGACTGCAAGCTGGGGACATCAAAGCAGCTCAGTCGGCGGTGAAGATTCGACTAGAGATGTCATCGAGGAGCCAGTCAATGCCAGGCAGCAGGTCCTCCCCGGTGACGGCACTGCAGCCCTGGATGCGCCAGTGGTGGGTGCGGATGGAGGCCAGCTCCAGGGCCTGGGGACAGAAGGGACTGGTGGGACCAGCAGGCCTGTCTTTTCTCAGTACTCATGAAGGTGAGCCACTCAACAGGCACCTGGGCTCTTTGTAGCTGCACACCAGGACCACTCCTGGGTCATGTAAAGGCAGCATGGGTTCCTGAAGGTCTGCTAGGCCCAGGCATTGTGCAGGGACCTATGGAAGCCATCTGTCTCTTCGTCCCAAGGCCTCCAAGGATGGCATGTTCCATTTTACCAAGGAGGAAACCCAAACTCAGAGAGCTAGTAACACCACCAAGATTCTAAATCCAGGTGTAAGGTGCATGCCTGTAATCCTAGCACTTGGGAGGTAGAGGCAGGAGGACGGGGAACTCAAGGCCAATCTGGGCTACCTGAGACCCTGTCTCAAACCAACAAACAAGTAGAAAGTAATGAAGACTCTAGCCCTGCTGTTTCTCACTGTGGTATCTGAGCACAATGATAACAGTTAAGATACAGTCTCCATGGCTGGATAACAGTTAAGATAACAGTTAAGATACAGTCTCCATGGGCTAAATCCTGACTTGTTGCCCACTGGCTGTGTGACATTAAACAAGTTACCTAACTTCTCTGTGTCTGCTGCACCCTCTGTAACATGACAGTCTTTCCTGCCATGTGAGAGTGTTGTGATAGTAAAGTAAAAACCGAGGGCTGGAGAGATGCTCAGTGGTTAAGAGCACTGGCCACTCTTGCAGAGGACCTGGATTCGATTCCTAGCACCCACATGGCAGCTAACAACTGTCTGCAACTCCAGCTCCAGGGGAATCTAATAACCCTCTTCTGACCTCTGCGGGCACTGCACGACATGACAGGCAACACATGCATACACATAAATTAAAATAATGAAGTATTTTTTTAAAAAAATGAAAACTTGGCTGGAGAGATAGCCCAGTGGTTAAGAACGCTGACTGTTCTTGCAGAAGACCCGGGTTTGAATCCCAGCACCCACATGGCAGCTAACTGCCCATAATTCCAGTTCCAGGGGATTCAACAGCCTCTTCTGTCCTCCCCAGGCACATTGCACAACACAGATACACTTACCTACATGCAGGCAACACACACATACACATAAAATAAAAATAAAT